TGGAGCTATTAGTCATATTATCCATGAATATTCATGAATATACCGCTATATGTCCGCTGGAATATAACAAGATTGCAACACTGACTTCATAATATTAAAAATTACATGAATAGTTCTTAACCCTATTTTATTGTATAACTTTCGTCTTATAATAATTTTATAATTTTGTTGTATTTTATACCTGGTATGTTTATAGTGTAACGTAGTTGTCAAGAATCCAGCTCTACTGTCACACTGAAATGCCGTTCAGTAGAGTGTGAATATGATAACCATATATTCTTCCTGACGATGGCTTTAAAAGCCGAAACATGTAGCTAAGGTGATGTTGACCTAGGCCGTTTCGTTGTTGTGTTACGACGGATTCAGAGTCAGAATTACTTTACGACTGGCGGTTTACCGCCAATCAGTTCGTCTTGGCGTCAGCCCCTTGAGGATCACGACCAGAGATTTTTCTCCCTCTGAACTCTTGCGGTAATAGTCCTTATGTAACATCCTCTCTGACAAGAAGATAGATTTGTCTCCTATGAATACACTTGACTTTCGTCAAATGTATATTTCGCATATATAACATGTTATCGAAAATTCTTCCGTTTTCACTACACACAAGTCCTCTGTCAGTACGGGTTTTACAGAGCAGCTTATGCCTAACTTACATATCTTATGCTACAATAACAACTTAGTCATTTGAACGGTCGTAAGCTTGACCACCGCCAAGTTTAAGCCTCTTATATTTTCTGTGTCTGGCTTCACCTTATCCTATACCGCGAACATGTTCATTCTCATGATTTTGAATGATTTCTGTTTGTCGTCTGCACAGTTTTGTTATATAATCGTATACATACGGAAAGTTGAAAGCTGTGTGCAAGTCGCGGACGGGTGTGAGCCTTGTAAAATTTCCAGTGGTGAGCAAAACCTTGTTTTGCATGCCCTGCAGTTTTAGAAGGTAGGTGTCTGCAGCTAATTCCCAGGCGGGACAAGCGTAAGTCATTACTGATCTGATCAGTGCCTAATAGAGGGTTTGGCCGCGCCATAGCTCAAGCGGTTAGTCGCTGGCTTCCCACCGCGGCGGCCCGGGTTCGATCCCGGGTCTGGTCAAGTGGGATTTGTGGTGGACAAAGTGGCGCTGGGGCAGGTTTTCTCCGAGTACTTCCGTTTCTCCTGCCAATCTTCATTCCACTAATTGCTCCACACTCACCCTCACCTATCATCTGGGGCTGGTACAATAGGCCAGAAGTTGCCTCAGTACAAGGGACTTAGTCCCACCCCACTAGCAATAAAAAATATAGAGGGTTAGTTTGATGTTTGCGTTTAAACGTTCACTTTTGAATAGGGAGTAGATTCTAATAAATATTCTGAAGGCCTTGACTTCAATCATTTCTATGTGAAGTCTCCACCAAACCAAAGCCAAAGTCACATTATGACTGACGGTCAGTCAGTCAGTAAGTCTTGGTGTCGGGCCCAAGATCGGGCTCATGACTAGATATTAATTATTATCGTTTGATGGTCTTCCTCAGGTCCGAGTCCCTTGAGACTCGAGATCATATTTTACTGTCTCAGATTTGAGACTTCCCTTTGCGTCGCCTCCTACGACTGGCAGGGTCACGGTGGAGGTATTCAACCCCGCCTCCACACGGGAGGAGTCTTCACCAAAGTCAAAGTCAAAGTCAAAGCCACATTGCTACTGACGGTCAGTCAGTCAGTAAATCTTGGTGTCGAGCCTCATCTGGGACTCATGACCAGATATTAATTATTACCGTTTGACAGTTACGGTTTTATTTTCGCGGGGCGCCTTCTCTGACGAGAGGACGGGTCTGTCTTTTGTATATGCTGCTGGCTCTTGCCAGCGCAGTCTTGCTCGGGTCCGAGTCCCTTGGGACTCGCGACCATATTTTACTGTCTCAGAATTGAGAATTGAGATAGAGAGAGAGAGACACACACACACTTACGGATCATCTTCAGAGGGAACATCAATACTTATTCGGAAACCACCATCACAATAGGTGTTCTGATTGCTAAATTACATACACACATAATGCCTGGAATACACAATGTACACAATATTCAACTTTTCACAATCACAGCAGCCTTCCTGGTATTAAAACTTTTAAAGTGTTTAAAAAATTTAGCTTACCTGGACTTAAATATATTTAATAGACACGGACAAATAGAAATGGAAATACACATCTACATAACAAACTTAAGCGAAAAATGGGTAACCCGGATAATAAAGACGCAAAAGAACAAGATGGGTCACTTCTACTTACACAGGAAATTACATACGAAAAATCACAAAACTATTGTGATTCTTCGTATGTAATTTCCTGTATAAGTAGAAGTGACAGAGAGAGAGAGAGAGTCAGAGTCACGTTGCAACTGACGGTCAGTCAGTCTGTCTGTCTTGGTGTCGAGCCCCAGCTGGGGCTCATGACCAGATATTTCTAGAAGTGACAGTCAGAGTCAGAGTCACGTTACCACTGACGGTCAGTCAGTCTGTCTGTCTTCTTGTGCGGCTACTCTTCTTGCAGCAACTATTCTCCAACCATTATCCGCTCCCTCCATAAGGGCAGCTCGTTCCGAGCGGTCCCTTTATGAGGTTACAGTCAGTCCAAATTCTCAACATAATCCGAAGTTCTCTTCTATTCCCCCTTCTCTCTTTCTCTCTAGTGGGGGCCATAACTCCTACAGTGGCTGGTGTTCCCACTTTTTCGGGTACTCTTACCCCGCATACAGTCTCTTTTTCCTTTTCGGAGTAGGCCGACCCCTCCACAAAGTCCATTTCTTCATTTTCCGTAACCCACTGGAAGTTCCGACTACATGTTCCATATTCTTCTCTTGAACATCTCATATATGTCCTTCTTGCGCCTTCCTCTGCTTCCCTGGTATGCTCGCTCTCCTGAGCTCCACCTTTCGATATTGTTCGTGGTCAGGTCCTTTATTCCTGTTTTGCGTTCCGGACCCTTCTAACGTCTCTTCTCGAACTAAAACGCGGACAACCGTGAGAAGGTCTTGAAGAGCGACTCTTACCGAACGGGTAGCATCTTTCTTCGTATTCAGAAGGTGGCGGGTTTAAATCACGTTCCAGAAACCGGCTATCTATTCGCAGAACAGTAACGATGTAACCACAGAACTTGGAGAACCTTCATTGTTAAAATCCATAACCAGCATTCAATTGTTATTTCAACCTATTGCAAGAGAATGCTGTGTCTAAATAACAACGCGAAGGAACCACGGAAATAATATGGAGCGTGGTACGGAGAGCATTCGTGGTTATTTTCCGGACGAAACAGAAGATGATAGCGGTTCTTCTTACGATGAACTCCGAGACTACATCCGAGCCTCGTCCACCAGCGGCTGCTTCGGGTGGGTCCGAAGATGGATATGTGAGAAAAACGACTTGGATAGTGATAACGATTCTTATCTGAAGGAATACCCAGACAACACGGGGGACGGCACAAAACACTCCGGAGACTCGTCCGCCAGCGGCTGCTTCGAGTGGATCCGAAGATGGATATGTGAGAAGTCTCGCAGGCGCCTCGGAACAGCAAAGAGACCCTGACAGCACAGTGACCGGCGAGGGCAACAGCCCAGCGACGCGGCTAGGGAGACAGCATCAGCGACAAGAATGAAGATAGCCAAACAGCCGCATGTAGCAGAAGAGAGTCCAGCTTGGACGAGAGCAGAAGTCAGTTCTGGTCCGACAAGGGATAGAAGAAGGGCCTACATAGTTCACTGAGATTAGCAGTGCAAGAGCAGAGCCATTGAAGAGGAAACGTCTGAAAGCGTTATAAGTGCTCCTTTTGTTTATAAGGGTTGTGCTTGCAACGTCCTCTTTTCCCCTGGCTCGATGTTTTTTTCCTTCCTGTTGTCCGATCTCCAACTACTACATCCGCTCCCTTCCTAAGGCCAACTCGTCCCGAACGATTCCCTGCTAAGGTGCTAGGACATCCAGATGTATCGCCATCATCCAATATTTTTCTTCATTTCTTTCTTTCTCCCCCCTCTCTCTCCCTCTTTTACCAGTGGAGGCCATAACTCCTAACTCCTGGAGTGGCCGGTGCCCCCCATATCCGGCTCTTCTTACGCTAATGCGGGTTTTTTTTGCTGTTTTTTTTTTTTTTTTTTTTTGAGAGAACCGACCCCACAACCTATATTGTTGAAACGTGTTTACCGATCGATTTCATAGCAACGGTCGCGGCACGGACTCTGTTGGTTGAGGCACTATGCTACACGCCGGAAGGTCGCGGGTTCAAGTCCCGATGAGGTCATTGGATTTTTTCAATTTACCTAATCCTTCCAGCCGCACAATGGCCCTGGGGTCGACTCAGCCTCTAACAGAAATGAGTATCAGGAATATTCTTGGAATATTCTTGGGGGTAAAGGGCGGCCGGATCGTATGGCTGACAACCTTGCCGTCATCTATGAGCCGATTGTCCAGAAAATTTGGGAACATCAACATCTCACAACCCTATGGGCCTCCACGGCCTGTTACAGGGATACCTTTACTTTTTTTTTTTTTTTATTGAACTGATTATTATCGTTGCTCGCTATGAATCTCTGCTTCACACCAGTCCATAACCTTTGATGCGTATGTTTGATTATGTACATGATGGCGGAAGAGAGTGAGGTGGAAAATGTTTATCTGGTTTGCGTATGCATCCACGATAAAGGAATTTAATATATGAATCTATATAACCTGTATATTATGTATTTCACATCGAGACATGTGTTATATTGACATATTAGAGAGTGTGACAGTAACAGGGTGTGCAAATCTTGGCTGTTACACCTTTTGACAGAAGGTGTAACTCTCTTTAAGTTTTACTGGCCTAAGACATTATTTATTATCATAAGACACAGAGTGTCAGTAGGAGCAGCTATTTCGTTATTAAATGAAGTGAAGCAGGTGAGAATTTAGTGTATTAATCTTTGTTAATTAAAAAATAATGGAAGGTAGTTGAGATACGTATGTCAACATATTACATTAGTGTTTTATGTTTCAGATAGTAATGGAGGATAGTGTCAGTGTCAAATCAAACGATTCTGTAGCAACGAGTGATGAATATGAATTTGTGAATGGTGGCTCAGCTGGGAAAGGGCTACTGACCATTGAACAACCACTTTTGAAGATTGCCAACAATGGTAATCTTGATGACTTGTGTAAATCTTTAACTGAAGTGCTAAGTGAGGATACCAACTGTGTTTCTAAAATGGAAAATTTTGCAACAATTAAACATGTGCCAGTGAACCAGACAATCAAGAAAGTTGGCCAGAGCATGTTTTATGAAGTTGATACAATGAAGTCAGTACTTACAGCATCAAAAGAAACGGAAAAAATTGATATTATGAAGTCAGATGATGAAGATAGGCCAGGTATTATATAAAAAATTTTATAATAACACCCTTCTAATTTTAAAGGAATGTTTTTCCCAGTAATGTAATTGCAGTATTAGCCTCCAATGTTTTGTGCAAAAGTACTGTAGAAATTAAAGTAAAGTTTGTCTGAATACTGAAGGTGTCACTGAGAAAGTTCTTTCAGATAATAACATTTTCTAACTTATATTCTGGAGGCACCTAGTTTGAATCTCAGCTGAAACATCAGCCATCCTGACTGAAGTTTTTGGTTTTCCTCAGACCTTCCTGGAGAATGCTGAGCTGGTATCTCAAATTAGGCCAGAAACTGCTTATTTGCATATACTTTCCAAATCATTATTCACTAATTTTCATTTTCCAACGCTGTATAATCTGAGATACTGACATTCATTAAATAAACTATATCTATTTGGTTAATGCTACAAGATCTTTTGGTATAATGCATTACGTTTGCTGTGTAGTTTGATGCATGAAGTAATTTATTTTGGATTGGTGCTACAACAGGGTATAATATAGAGAATGTATAACAGCAATTTCTTATGTAAGTGTAAGTCAGTATTTGTTTCTTGCAGTGTGCAAACTTTCATGGTCAATTAAGAAGCTCTAGTACCCAGTTGTTCTCGTTGTTTATTAAGTTTATTACAGATGCATGTAGAAGAGAAGCTAATGTACAAAAGTCACAATCATGAAGTAACACTTTGTTAAACAGGTGTGATAGCACATCATTTTTTATGGTAATTCTAGTATTTTCTTGCAGTTTGTTTTAAGAGAGACCTAAATGAAAAAAAGGTGCTTTTGTGAAGTAGATGCAGCATACAAGAGGTGACAGTGATCTGTAGTCTGATTGATTTTAAAAATGTAGGTTATCTAATCCTGTACTTGGACTCAGAATGTTTTTAATTTTCTACTTTTAGTAATAAACTTTTGGATTTCTTAACACCGGACTATTAGAATATTTGCCTTATTCCAGTTCCAGATGTCCAGCAGGAGTGTACAATATTTAGTGGTGTGTCATACTTAGGAGCAGCGGCTATCAATGCTCCAAAGAGTGAAGCAGAAATTCAGCGTAATATGAGCATTTTGAATGAACAGTCTTCAGAACAAGCCATCAAGGTGTCAGTTTCTGTACCAAATTCATCAGATGGTACAGTTGTGTAAGTCATGTACTCATTTATGATTCCATGTATGACTTGTACAGGCTGCAACAGAAAGTTTCACAATGTTTTTTTAATTACCTTTGCTAGATGTAACATTGAACTCCCCACCATCAAATTTCATGTATTTCTGTTCAGCAGTTGTTGAGTTCTTTCATGCATGCCAGCAGATGGGCCTCCGAAGGGTTGAAAGTGTGCTTAAAAACTGATTATCAATGCCTGGCAACAGAATGGAGGGAACCATATAGAGACCAGTAGACAAAATATTTTTATATATATAAGAGCATGTAATCAAATCCAAGCAAGTTGAATGGGGATAATCTGAACAATATAAGACGTGAAAACAGCAGGCATTTCAGAAACATAAAGAGGGAATATCTGAAAGACAAAATTGATGAGCTTGCAATGAACAGTAAGAACAAGAACATTAGAGACCTGTATAGAGGAATGAATGACTTTAAAGAGGGGTTACCAGCCTAGCAGTAACTTAGTGAAGGATGAGAATGGTGATTTGCTTGTAGATCCCCACAACATTTTGAATAGATGGAGGAACTACTTCTCTCAGTTATTGAATGTACATAGGGTCAGTGATGTTAGGCAGAAAGAAATCCATACAGTTGAGCCGTTAGTACCTGATCCTAGACCTTTTGAGGTTGAAAGTTGTATTGCAAAATTGAAATGGTATAAATCACCAGGTAGTGAACAAATTCCAACAGAACTTATTCAAGCAGGAGGTGAAATATTACATTCTAAGATCCACAATCTACGTAATTACTTCTATTTGGCATAAGGAAAAATTGCCTGATCAGTGGAAAGAGTCTGTTATTGTACCAGTTCACAAGAAGGGTGATAAAACTGACTGTAGTAATTATCGAGGGATATCACTGCTGTCAACGTCATATAAAATTTTATCCAATATTCTTCTCTCAAGGTTAAGTCCATATATAGATGAAATTATTGGGGATCATCAGTGTGGGCTTCGATGTAGCAGATCAACTACAGATCAGATCTTTTGCATTCATCAGATATGGGAGTGTGATGAGACAGTACATCAGCTATTCATAGACTTCAAGAAAGCCTATGATTCAGTTAAGAAGGAAGTTTTGTACAATATTCTGATAGAATTTGGGATACCCATGAAACTAGTTAGGTTGATTAAAATGTGTTTGAACGAAACATATAGTAAAGTCCATGTATGTAAACATTTGTCTGATAAATTTCCTATCCAGAATGGTCTAAAACAAGGAGATGCTTTATCATCACTCCTTTTCAACTTTGCTTTAGAATATGCCATTAGGAAGGTCCAGGGAAACCAGGTGAGACTGAAATTAAACGGAACACATCAGCTGTTGTTCTATGCCGATGATATGAATCTACTGGGTGATAATGTAGATACCATAAAGAAAAACACAAAAACTTTAATTGACGCAAGTAAAGAGGTTGGTCTAGAAGTAAACACAGAGAAAACTAAGTATATGTTGCTGTCTTGTCACAAAATGCAGGGCAAAATAATGATATAAAGATAGGAAACAGATGTTTTGAAAATGTACAATTCAGATATTTGGGAGCAACGATAACAGATGGAAACCTGATTCAGGAGGAAATTAAGAGGAGATTGACCTCAGGTAATGCTTGCTACCATTCAGTCCAGAACCTTTTGGCTTCTCATCTGCTGTCCAAAAACATAAAAATTAGAATATACAAAACTATAATTTTGCCTGTGGTTCTGTATGGGTGTGAAACTTGGTCTCTGACATTAAGGGAGGAACATAGACTGAGGGTGTTTGAGAACAGGGTGTTGAGGAGAATACTTGGACCTAAGAGAGATGAAGTGACAGGAGGTTGGAGAAAACTGCATAATGAGGAGCTTCATAACTTGTACTCTTCTCTAAGTATAATTAGAATGATCAAGTCAAGGAGGATGCGGTGGGCAGGTCATGTAGCACGAATGGGGGAGACAAGGAATGCGTATAGGATATTGGTGGGAAATCCAGAAGGAAAGAGACCACAGGGAAGACCAAGGCATAGGTGGGTGGACAATATTGGAATGGACCTTAGAGAGATAGAATGGGATAGTGTGGATTGGATTGCTCTGGCTCAGGATAGGGACCAGTGGAGGGCTCTTGTGAAGACGGTACTGAACCTTCAGGTTCCATAAAATGCTGGGGAATTCTTGAGTAGCTGCAGAATTGGTGGCTCCTCCAGAATGTCTCAGTTCCATGAGTGAGTAAGTAAGTAAGTAAGGCGCATGTAATCAGTAAATAGTTTTTCACTGTTAGCATATTAAGATTTATATATTTTCAGAAGCAAAACACCACCATATTAAAGAATGAATCTTATCATCTCAGTGTCCTCCTACAGGGCAGATTTTCTGTGAAAGTGGATGAATAACCTCATTAGTGATATTTGGAAGCATTATTCACAACTTTACTGAAAATGTGATTTTTAAAAGAAAGTAAATCTCACCCTAGTGAGTTAAGGTGACAAAATTAACTACCTTCATAACTTCATGGAGGAGAGTATCTTTCTCAAAATATTCCCTACTTTTTATGAAACCTGGCAACTGATTACCATGTTCATGAGAGCCAGCTACTCGTGCAGTCCTGAGCCAAACTAATGAACTCATACCCTCACATCCCTATTTCTTTAAGATACATTGCTCATGTGTTATGAAACATATTTGTCACTATCAGTAATAAACTTCAAAGTATCTAATTTTAAAACATTAAACTTAAAAAAAATAGTAACACAGTAATTATGGCATTATACCATTTTGATAAACTCTGATGGAGAAGTATGGGTTATTATTGTTTACTGAATCGCAGTAGCATAGTTAGTTGAGGCACTATGCTGCAAGCCGGAAGGTCATGAGTTCAAGTCCCGATGAGGTCATTGGACTTTTTTCAATTGACCTAATCCTTCCAGCCGCACTATGGCCCTGTGGTCGACTCAGCCTCTAACAGAAATGAGTACCAGGAATTAATTAAATAATTTTCCTGGGGAGAAAAGCACAGCTGGCACATAAGGCTGGCAACCTTACCGCCATCTTTGAGCCGATTGTCTAGATAATGTGGAACCCTCAACGTCTCACAACCCTATGGGCCTTCACGGCCTCGTACAGGGATAGCTTTACTTTTTTTACTTTACTTTACTTACTGAAAATGTAATATGAAATCCATATTAATTTTCAGACTATATGATGCAGCTTCTCATGTGATCATGGCTCGGTATGAAATTCACCGCATCCTGTTCTATGCAAGAGGGACAGCGGGATCTACTGAAGCCTCATGCTTTGCCTTCACATGGTCTCATGGAGACACCCAAGAATCAGCCATATTTCAGTGCCATGTATTCAGATGTGACATTCCTGAGGCTGTAAGTATTGAAAACCAAGTCACAGATGATTAGCTGCAAGTAGTGTAGAATGAATAAAGTCAAGTCATGTTCATCTGTTTGTTTATAACATCAGTTCTCAAACTGATTGATGAACTTCTTGGAGTGTGCAATATGTTCACAGAATTGTTAGAGAAACTGCCTAATGGGATATTTATTTTTGTATGCCAAACTGTGTCAAGGCAAATACACATTAATTAAATGATTATGTGGAGGTGCTTTAAAAAATTACTTTTTTTCCAATCTTTTCTGTTCATATAATTTAAGTGTATAGTACACTGACCTTTTTTTGTTGTAGAAGCAAAACAGTTTGTGAAAGACCATGTAGAGGTATAGCTGCTTAGATTGGATCAGAACAAATGGGTATCTCGATGGAAAAAAGGAAAACATAATGGAGAAATTATCAGATATTCTTTTGGGTGAGGCTTCATATATTCTGATCTAAATGATCAGAAAGACTTTTGTAGTTATACTTGGTCATAGAGGAGAAATCTTCAAAACACAGTGGGTATATTGATGAAGAGATTTTGAGTACATTTGTCAAAAGGTGCAAATAATTTCAGTGCCAAACTAAAATAAATGTTATGTAATAATGGAACATGTTGCAAAAACCATTCAGAGTGTCCTATGCAACCACGAGTATTGTTTCAAGTGCACTGTGAAATTCACATGAACTTTGAGCATAAGAAATCCTGAAGCAAATGTGTAATAACCAGGATTTTGAAACTGTGGAGCATAGTCCATAATAAGAAGTCTGTTGCCAGTAAAAGGAAAATGCAACACCTGTTATTATTTTATATTTTACACCAAAATAACTATAACAAAGATTTATTTTCTGAAGAGGTGTTATCGTACAACCTTCCACATTTCTGTACTGGGTGACTGTAATGTCACTGTTGTCTTGGACTTCAAACCATTCTATTTTGGAATTATTAATGACTAGTGAAAGTGCCTGCTCATTACCTGGTTTTTCATTAAATAAATGGCTCTGAAGTGATTAAATTGCTTATTTATTATGATTTTTTTATTCCCATTACCATAAAGAAGTCACTGAAAGTGCTCATTTCTCCAGTGTTTTATAATAGATTGTCCAGAAGTAATGAAATTGCATTCTGTTTTAATGAATATACTGTATATACTACTGTGGAATCACGTGCTTTTTTAAATTACAATCTTGTGAATGTATGTTCCCATTAAGCAACATTCTTCCATGTACTGCTTTCACATTATGTAGTGATCTCATGTAGTAAATGGCTTCAAGTAACCAAAACAGTGACAGACACAGGTTACTTATGTACATGCTTTAAGTAGATGCCAAGCAATGAAACAGTGGTAGACAAAGACTGCTTTTATACAGTAGAAACCAACAGTGGGAAAATGGAGAACAATCAGTGTAAGTATCTTGTAAAAAAAAAAATCAGGCCATACAGACCTGTAGGGTTGTGAGACCTCAAGGCTGCCATATGCCCCCAGATTGTATTTTGTATATATGTCAAAGATATTGATATGGTGTCAAAGGGCACAATGATGAAATGTCTGTCACATGATACTCCTACCAAGTTTAATTAAATTCTGTGAATTTATTTAGAACATCTGAGTAAGGCTAAGTTTATAATTACCTGCAAATATAGGGACAAGACATGGTATAATGTATGTTTGTGTGTTTTTATGTTTCACTTTAATACAGATTCTAAGTATGTGACAGAGGAGATAAGTTAGAAGGATGTGATTATGGCCAATTTCAAGGATTTACCGGATAAATGATCTGGTACAGAGGATACCAACAAACTTATTAATTCAAGATATGAAACCCTATAATTCCATCTGTTTACATTATAATTTCTTATAGTATAATGACAAGGAAACATAATTGTCACAATTTGTAACTGTGCGCTCTGATGCTAGCACATAAATTTAATTTTTCCTTTGTTGACTTATATGTGATGGAGCCAAAATGTTTGTGATCATTCCCCCATGTGAGGTTATCTGCCATTGTTGCCATTTTTATTGCACATTACTTTTGAAGTAGTTCCCTTCTGCTGTCACACATTTGTGCCAGCAGCTATACCACTGCTGCAGGCACTTCTACAGGTTTTTTTGTCACCTCCATCAATAACACTGATGCAGTGAGTGTGCCTTCATTGAGCTGATCCCTTCTTGAGGAGCTACCAGTTGTGCAGCTATTCAAGAACTTCCCAGTATTTTGTGGAACTCAAAGGTTCATTACCATGTTCACAAGAGCCTTCCACTGGTCCCTGTCCGGAGCCAGATCAATCCAGTCCATACCACCCCATTCTATCTCTCTAAGATCCATTTTAATATTGCCCACCAACCTACGCCTTGGTCTTCCCAGTGGTCTCTTTCCTTCTGGGTTTCCCACCACTATCCTATACATTCCTCTTCACTCCATTAATGCTACATACATGCCCATCTCATCCTCTTTGACTTGATCATTCTAATTATACTTGGAAAAGAGTACAAGTTATGAAGCTCCTCATTATGCAGTTTTCTCCAACCTCCCATCACTTCATCTGTCTTCAGTCCAAATATTCTCCTCAGCACCCTGTTCTCAAACACCCCCAGTCTATGTTCCTCCGTTAATGTAAGAGACCAAGTTTCACACCCATACAGAACCACAGGCAAAATTTTGTATGGTATAATTTTTACGTTTTTAGACAGCAGACAAGAAGACGAAAGGTTCGGGACTGAATGGTAGCAAGCACTACCCAAATTCAGCCTCCTCTTAATTTCCTCCTGAATTAAGTTTTGATTTATTACTGACATTCCTAAATATTTGAACTGTGCCACATTTTCAAAGCATCTGTTAGCTATCTTTGTGTCATGATTTTGCCATGCATTCTAGTATGAGATTTAGTATGTGGAGTGGAGATCAGAAACGTAGCACCATATTTCATCGCCTGTGGTAAAACTGTTCAGAAGCATGGATTACTGTTGACTCGTGAATCAACTGGTCGAGAGTCCTCTGAGAGATCTTGAGCAGAAGCATTATTCTTGTCATTACAAGCTATCTGTTGCCTTCCCTTTCTGAGATTTATCCAGTGATTCTTGGCCCTCCTTGAAATGCCTGTGTCACTTATACACTGCAGCCCAGTCCATGGCCTTGATCCTCTCAACTTCCCCAATTTGTAAATCCTTAAGGATGTCATGTTTGATGATACACAAAACTTATCATTTGCTGATTTCTCAGATTACAAGAACCTTGTCTACTGAGTTCTGAAATAGCCGAATTCACTCAACTTAAAAAAGTTTAGGTGCTCTTCACACACTCTGTACACTGACTGCATATGCACCCCAGAACATATCTCTCTCCACACTTTCCCTACATATTTCCACATGCTCAGGTGTGAAGACTCACACAAACGCTCAATTTCTTTTTCACTGTTGAAAAAGTTACAAACTTTACTAATTCTGAGTTTATATTTCAGCTCCGTTTCCATTTCATTTCATTTTATTCACCTTCCATAAATCCTGTTGAGAATACATTCTCATGCGGATGTGGAGATCGTCCTAGTTACAGTCACAACTAATAATTACAGTTGTCATCCAATAGCATACACATTTGTAACAAAATACTGATAAACATATTCAATATAATAAATAAGTTAATTTTAGTAGTAAAAATAATGGCAAACCTTATACAATTTGTACAGTCTTATACAAGTCTGTTAATTAAAAATTCAACAGTTAAAACAATGTCATTAATAAGTTTTGTATAACATACATTAATAGTATAATAAATTTAAATAAAGACTAGTATACAATGATATAAAAACTGTATATCTAAAATAAGTAACTAAAAACTATTAATTTTATCGTACCAGTTTTTTAGACATATGCTTTAAGAGATTAAAGAAGTTCTAATGGCTTCTTGGCATAATAACCATAAACAGAGTCACAACTAAGCCAATTCCTCATCCATTCCATTGTACAAAGCCCTTTTCTATCAAGTAATCTTGATTCATTCTCAGTACTAATGCAACATAAAGTTCTGTGTTTGATATTACTCACAATCCTGCTGTATGTGTCTTGTTACTGTAAGTTACATAATTGTATACAGTTGGATATCCTGGTCTGTTCATTTGAGTGCATGTAACACATATTGTTATACTCTGAAGCCATTATGACAGCTGTATACATTTTCACTCCGTACCAGATTCCTCATTTCTGAAAGAATGTTATACAGGGTGACTTAAAAGTAACCGCACTGTTAAGAAGGCTGGAGGGAGGGCTGTGTGGTAGTGTGGGAAATTGTGCAGACATAAAAAATATTTCTCTGACTTATTATTTTCCAGACTCTACCAGGTTGTAATTGTGCTTGCTGTTTGTTTTGTTCTTTGGTCAGTTATGTTAAGTGTTACTCGTGCCTTCGTTTTAAAATTGGATAGCAGTTCTTAGAACAGAAAACCTTTTGCAAAACTTGGGATGTTGAAAGTTGCCTTTTGTGAGTAAGTTATATTCAGAATACAAGTTTGTAAATAGTTTAGAGTTCAGAGAAAACAGATATGACAAGAACAGTGATGAATTATGTGGCAAACCAGAATTATGAAAATTTCCAGAGTGAAGTGATAACAGTAATTAGTGCCACATTATTAGTGGACTGTTTGACATCTTGGAGGTATTAGAATGACATGTTTTAATGACTGACTTGGACATGAAGGTGGTTTATGTGATGTATTTTGATTGATAAGGAAAATATGAAGTGTAATTTATTTGTTCCAGTCTTCTCCAGCATTCATAATGAAAAAATTTGTCGAGCATGCCATCACTTATGATCAGACTTGGATTTTTCAGAGCACCCCAAAGACCAAGCATCAGTGTCAGTGGAAACAAGGGCATATCAGAATAAAAAGTGATTATTATGTTGATTTTTTGTTTCTTATGTTTTCCTGACTTCTGAAGAACTGTTTATTAGTAATTTATTTTTGGGAGCCAAATTTTAAACTAGTTACTCTGTTTGGAAATTCTCCAGTGCCTAAGAGACAAGTTTCAGTGGAGAAGTCCACATTTTTGACTGTGTCACTGGATTCTTTGCAATGACAGTATCAGCCAGATCATAGCACTGTGAAGGAGGTTTTGGGAAAGTTTCACATCACTTAATATGATCAGCCCCCTGCCCCAATCTCCTGGCATAGCTCCTGGTGATGTGTTGTTCCAAAAAAATAAGAACTTTTCAGTAGGGTGCTTTTATTACTTGCTTGATATTATGCAATTGTGGTATTCTAAAGGATTTCAGAAGAAAAATTAAAAAAACTGTTGTGGTAGAATTTATATAGATTGAGACCCTTACCTCTGGGGGTGCTGCAGTAGCCCTGTCCGTATAGTAATTGGCTGTGGGCTGGACAACTGATGAAACAGTTTGATTCCTGGCAGAGTAAGAGATTTGTCTTTTCTCACCTGCATCTACTGCCAATGTTAAGAATGTGTGATGCATACCTCCACACCCCTATTTGTCTTCATGGCATGGTGCACAAGTAATTAAGCACAGGGACAACTTCTCCTTTACAGTACCCTTACCTCTGCTTTTTATGTGAGTCTGGGGACTTTTGAGTCACACCTCACTGTTATTTACCAACATCCTGATTGACACATAGTTGGAAATAAGACTCCATGGTTAACACCAAGTTCCTAGTTGGCTTCTATCTTGGAACAAACTTAATGTGTTAAATACAGTTTACAGGCTCCGCATTTGCTGGTAGGTCACTTATTTTTCCGTTCTGCTTGTAAAAGGGGAAAAGCTGCTGATTAAAGAGTATGAGTTATTTTCATGATAAAATCAAAGTTATGTTTTAGGCAGATCCCATTTTTATATTTCAGTCTTTCAGATTCTGTGTAAGGCTATAAAAGTGCACATAGAACAATACATTATTGGAAGAAACGAATATCAGCTTCTGTTCAAGTGGTCCCATCTAAATGTCTTAGCTAGCCAGCCATAAAATATGTATTTAGAATGGTCATGTAGTAACACTGTTCGCCATCCCTCAGACTAGGTACCCAGTGCATAGGCTTATATTCTGTTATCTAACTGTGGAACCCAGCACCCATGGTCTGATATGCTAGTTAGACAAAAGTCATGAGGTACAAAAATATACTGAAAGTACTGATCTTGCAAAGTTTTTACTGAGAACATAAAAGGAGGCAGTAGATTTACTGGTTTCAAGTAAAAGAATAAATCGCAGGTTTCTGGATGAAACAGTCAACAAAGATCCTGTGATAGCTTAGTCTGTTTAGCAAGTAGGCTAGAAGCACAAGGAATAAAGGTTTGATTCCTAGCAGAGGCAGTAGATGTGTTCTACGTTGCTGCATCCAGACAGACTCTGCAGCCCCCCATCCTCATATTCTGTATATACTGAGAGTTCTTTCCCTGGGGGTGTACAGTGGCTAGGGTAGCCAGTCTGACCACTAACCTCAATGTTGTATAGAATGTCTGGAGCTATACTTTTCTATAGTGAGTCATGCAACAGTTGTACTTATTAGAAATACAGTGAGGACCATCATTTGGTTTGAAGTGCTGTAGATGAGTCCATAAATTTTAGATGAAGACTAAAATGAGATGTGGTACACTCTTACTGTAAATCAGTTAGGACCTTCACTGTCTACATTTTCTCTGCTTTTGTTTTGTTTATCATACCTCTAAAAATATTACTATTTTTGTCTTCTTCATTGCAATGAAATTAAGCTCAGAATTGCAATTCAAATGAAACGTGAATTTATTAATCAAAGAATCCTCAATAGACTGTACCAGGGATATTAAATATTTGGTCTGACTGTAGAAGAGTGGTTGGCAGTATACTGCATATGCTAATGGGAGGTGTGAACTGGCCAAGCCTGCTTGCATATTGTTTACTGTTTGAGCTCTTAGAACAGCATCAGTGTTCAATGTATGTTAGTTGTGGTGTTTGTGTTGTGTGCTTGTCATCAGATTTATTGTTACAAAACAAGCCTTTGTTTTTTCAGTAGAAGAGAGGTATGTTAACACTTCGGTATAACTGCAGCTTATGCAATTTGGTTATGTAAGCATATTATCACAGGAATTATCTTCTCAGAACCGTCATCTCAGTGTGATATATGCAAAAGAATCTCCTGAATTTTAATTTCATGTAATCCTATTTATAATATATTTTCAGTTATTTAACATCGTGTCAGCATAATATGTCACTCTTATAGGCCGCGCCATAGCTCAAGCAGTTAGTCGCTGGCTTCCCACCACGGTGGCTGAGGTTCGATCCCGGGTCTGGTCAAGTGGGATACATGGTGGACAAAGTGGCACTGGGGCAGGTTTTCTCAAAGTACTTCAGTTTCCCCTGCCAATCTTCATTCCATCAATTGCTCCACAGTCATCCTCACCTATCATCTGGGGCTGGTACAATAGGCCACAAGTGGCCGCCGTACAGGGGACTTAGTCCCACCCCACTAGCAATAAAAATAATAATAATGTACAGAATATATTGGTAGGCTAACTTTAATTAAGTGAAGAAATTAGTTGTAGGAAGTATAAAATGAAACATGGTAATTACTTCTAGGAAATGCTGAGGAACTCTGCATAGAAAGATGTCACTGTGAGCACCATTTTTATAGCCTACAGCCCTCCAGTCATTCAGTTTCAATTGAGACCTGGCAATATGTGTCCAGAGTGACTGTCACTACAGCTCTGGAGCTCTCATGTAAATTTCTCAGACCATGAATTTTTTCATAATATATATAATGTTTTTCACATATCCCACAAGAGAAGATTCAGTGGTATGAAATCTGGACTATTTGGAAGCCATATTGTTGGCCCACTTCTTCTAGTTCATTGATTACAAAATGTAGCATTTAGTGTGTGGCAAACCTGAAAACAAAAATGAGGCAAGGTCCTATCATGCTGTGAGTCAGCTGCAACTGTATTTTCACATTTCAGATATATTGAGATAAATATTCCCAGTAATGGTGTTTTCTGCAAAGACAGAAAGGAAAAAAGTTCTTGCAATTGGAGTATCACATTAACGGTGGTGGGCATGTTAAGTGACTGTCTCTGTGACACGTTGTACATGCACAAATGAAAACTCAAATTGAATGAGATATTATTTTTCAGTGATTTGGTGTATGTATAGAGTATATCGAGTAGCAAAGCAGTCTGTGTATATAAACATAGATATAAAAATCTGAAAAATCCTTACAAATGTAAAAGGTAAAAGTAAAGTTATCCTTGTGCTTAATTAATGAAGCACCATGCAATGAAGATGCATGGAGTAATGGAGGTATAGCTCCACCATATTTAGATTCGACCTCAGCACTAGATGGAGGTGAGTGGTCAGCTTCATGTCCCAAATGCTTTAACACTCCCCCAGCAAAAGTACCAATGATACCCATTGCATAAGAGGCTGGGTGTGCCCCAGAGCTAGTCTGGAATGCTGTGGGTAAGATAATAACCTCTTGCCCTGATGGGAATCAAGCCTTGGCCTTCCAACCCATAGCTCGTCACTTAACCAACTTACAAATATAATGGTACAAAATATTAGTGTTAATATTCTGATTTTGTGACAGAGGCCACTCCTAAGGGGGGTGAAATTGTATACATTAAGCATGTGAGAGAATGAGAAGCTACTGGCAATATCTACTGGCAGCTGTCACAATTATGCAAAGGAACTTAAAGTAAATGTCTGAATTCCTCAAGTCCATATGATTCAGATTAAGGGCTAAGCAGCATTCACTTGTTGAAAATATTGTATTCATCAAACATGGTCAAGTGGTTAGTACTCCTGTTGCATATTCAGAAGATCTCAGATTTGATACTTGGCCTAAAATCAAGCTATTATTTATTTTCCTGATTATTCTCAATCTTTCCAGGCATGTATTGGAATTAAAAATGCCATGACCACTTCTTTAAAAGTGTATGATTTACATACTTTCTCCCATTCATTGCTATATAACCTTTGAAACTGAGAAAGTACTATATCTTTAAATAAACTAAGAGAAAGAACCCCTCTGTATTCCTCATTTGTGATAAAGTTTATGAATATGTTGTCTGTCATGAAGTCTTTCTTTGTGATCACAAAATCAATAGCTGACACCATTATAAAAAGAAAGCTACTGTTATGAAATATCTATAAAATTAATTGTTCTTAATTCTGTAAAAATAAAGAGTCATGTTTCCATACATCCACAGGTGAATTTCTGTCCTCATATTTTAAGGTAACAGTTTAAAAATTTGTTGAAGTTGGAGTTTAGCCAGAATTTCTGAGTTAGTAAAATACTGGCTACAGTTAAGTACTAGAATAAATGTTAAAATAAGTCACCACTGCTTCCCTTTCAGTCTCTTCCATTTTACTACCCACATTTATCATCGTGTAATTTGGTTGTATGTAACCTTTGGAGTAATAGCAGAATTTTAGGATAATTTATGATACACAGATATTGGATAATTAAATATGAAAGGAAATTTTATAATGGATTGTTGACAGGTAGGTCAGGTGTCAGCCTGTTTTGCAAAAGCCTTTCAGCGAGTGCCCAAGCCAATGATCAGTTCAATCACATCAAGTGATCTTGGACCAGCAGTGCCACCTGACAAAGAACATGTAGAAATATATGTGTTTGAAGTGAGCATGGAAATCAAAGAAGAGGATAGTCGGGTGAGTACAGATATGTTTGATAGAGTAAAAAAGATAAAGAATATGTATAGGAATTATGTTAAATGTCAACACAACAAATATACTTAGTTTTAATAAAGAATGTTTAGCAGTGTTATTACCTGTTATCATGGTGGGTGTTGTTGCACACTGCATTTGAAGTAGCTGTGGTCTAACAGAGCTAGAAGAACTCTTGGAAACATTTTCCTGTAACTTCCTTAGCTGCCACAGTTACAACTTCTTTCACCTCTTGTGCTGACTGCAACCTGTGGTCCTTCAAGTGGATTACATTTTTGGGAAGAGTAAATGATCTGCAGAAGCTGGATGTGGCAATTAGGGAGTGTACAAAAGCATTCTGATGCCATACTTCATCAACTACTGCCGAATGAAATTAGATTGATAAGCTGGTACATTGTCATGTTTTAGAAGTCAGAGCTCATGTTCCCAAAGATCAAGCTATTTATGTTGAATACTTTCTCACATACAGTGAACAATATCTCTGTACAAAATGTTGACATTATGTTTTTTGGGACGAACTCATGCAGTGATTTCTTTCCTTTGCTGTATGTAATTAATTTTCAAGAGAAAGAGTCATTCCAAAAAGGAATTACAGTCTGACTTCAGTGTTGCATACAATTTGTAATGCCCTTATTAGAAATAAAGCCTCGCCATCCAGCACTCAAAATATTCCCTTTATTGATTGATTTCTTATTGCATGTAATTATGTAGTATGTTTGTTTGTGGTACTGTATATGTCATTCATTGGAAATAAACAATTTGAACTATCAGTTCAAATGAACTATTAATTCATTATGATGCAGGGTGGTTTTAGTGCAGTGCCAAAGGATCGAAGCGGCTTTAAATTGCGTTTGAACCTAGAAAAGCAGCTCTGTCTCACAGTACAGCAAGTGTCGGAGAATGAAAGGGGCCTGGAGGTTGAGCGATGTTTTGGTGTACTTGTTAGCCCTGGTCGCAATGTCAAACATAGCGATATGCAACTGCTAGAGATGGTGAGTACTATTCATTACTGGCAACTGTTTCTGTTTGAAAACTGTGTTCCTTAACTTGGTTTTATCAACCCAAATCAAGACAGCATATCCTGTATATATGAGGGGCAGTCAAAGAAAACGGGTCAGAAGCCAAAACATATTAAAAAACATTTCTTACCTCAAAAGTAATCTCCAAAACTGTTAATACATTTATCCCACTGGGAGATAAGACGGTCAATCCCTTCCTTGAAAAGGCTTGTGGGCTGTCTACAGAACCACATATTTACCCAGCCACACACGTCTTCGTCCGATGCAGACCAATGTCCACGAATGTCTCTCTTCAGGTCTCCAAAAATGTGAAAATCACATGCGGAGAGATCTGGGCTGTAGGGGGGATGATGAAGCACTTCCAAACCAAATCTCTGTAGCGTATTCCTCACAGAGTTGGCAGCGTGGGGGCGCGCAATATCATGAAGAAGGGTAATGCCGTTCGATAGCATTCCAGGGGGTTTTGACTTTATGGCACATCTCAGTTTCTGCAAAGTGCCTTCATAGCGCTGTGCACTGATTGTGGCCCCATGCTCGAGAAATTCGACAAGCAGAGGGCCCTTGCAGTCGAAGAAGAACATCATCGCTTTACCAGAACTTGTGTATATGGCTTTGGATTTCTTTGGTGGTGAAGAATTCACGTGTTTCCACTGTTGGCTCTGCCACTTGCTCTCAGGTTTAAAATGGTGGCACCAAGTTTCGTCCCCAATGGCAGTATGGGACATAAAAGCATGCTCTTCCTCATGGTATCATTGCAAGTGATCCAGTGATGCAGCCATTCTCTGAATATTCTGTTCCTCCGTGAGTTGATATGGAACCCACTGTGCGCAAATTTTGTGGTACAGCAGGTGTATTGTCACAATGGCATGTTCGGAACCGTGACTTATTCCCATCAAAAGACTAATTTCTTCCACAGTGATCAATCAGTTTGCCTGGATATGACCAACATAACAATAACATCAGGAGTGATGACACGATGAGCCTGTCCTGGGCAAGCATCATCTTGCAGTGACACACGTCCCTCTCAGAATCTCTTATGCCATGCCAGCACACACAAACGTGACATGCTGTGTTCACCATAAACAATAGACATGCGAGGATGAATTTCTCGTCCTCCTACTCCTTCAGCAGTCAAAGTGCACTACACTTCACTGTTCTTCTTTACCTGCCTCCATTACTGATGTTGGATGACCACACCTAGCTCTGACCTTCCTTCCAGCACAATAAACAAACGACTAGTGTACAAGGGCACGTTGTCACTGTGCTTTCCCGACTCCCCACCAGATGTTCATACCGTAAGCAAATTCCTGTGTTACCAACTTGCGTGCCATGTGAGTTATACGTGGTGACCCATTTTCATTTGACTGCCCCTTATATTATACAGTAGAATGTGTTATATGTTTGTCCTACATCTCTATGTTGTTTTCCTTAACTTTTTATTTCTTTGATTGTACTAACTCTGTAATTGACTCCTGTAGCTTTTGAATTAACATAAAAAAATAAATAACCAAATTGAATCATGATTATAATTACAGTAAGATATCCACTAGTCATGAAATTTATGGGTCACAGTCTGCTTGGCTGGGGTTTCATTTCCAGCAGAGACAGTATTTTCCTCTTCCTTGCTACAAGCATGTTCAGGTGGCCTCTAGAGCCCACTTATCCTATCCAGTTTGTGCCAGGGATTCTACCTTGTGGGGACATTAAAGAGTGTGCTGTGCTTCCCACCAGGATAACACATTCATTCCTCAGCTGCCTACCTGCATTAGCCATCTGCTTTGTGAAACATTCTTATTTGTGTAAAGAAACTCACTCTCTGATCAACCAAATTTCTCACAGAAGTGAACAGTTTTTCTTCTTTAAATTTCTTTGTTCTTTTGTAAGTTAGAACATACTGTCTGTTCAGATGTGTAGTATGTGAGCTTTGTACTACTTGCATCTCTCAGCAGGTAAATGAAACTACAAACTTTGTAACCTGTTATGGTTCAAAAATCAGTTTGCTGTGCTCCTGATGGTGAGAACTAGAGACACAGGAAACTTCCTTCTGCCATGAACATGTTAATGTATTTTGTATAGTATGTCCTCATTCATTTGGTAGAAACTGAAATGGGTGAAGGTTGAATATGGAACTTATTTTAGAAGGGCAGTAGAGGGAAAGGGAATGAGATGAAGATACCCAGTTGTATGTAATAATAAAATGAAGGAAGAGTGTTGTACTGATGGCAGATAGTGCCAAGCAGTATTATGCAATAAATCTATACTGACTAACTCCATGGAGCAGACTTCATTTGAAGAAGCTAAATTGTACAATTTATACCAGTAATGTATAGTTTTCCTAACCATGCTACTGATGGAGACAGACATAAGTTATTCCCAGAATTTCTTGTTTTAAGTACTGTTTCATATGTATATTTTTCAGAAGAACATAACTGTTGAAAGCAAATTGACAAGTCATATACATATTATACTTCACAGCTATATTTTGTGATTCCTTTAAACAGAATACAGAAACTCTGTCTCAGTAATTTTTGTGAGTTTCCTTGGTTTTCTGTGATGATAGAATTTTGGATATTCCAGCTTTACTGCAGGATAGAATTAAAATGGTGTCTCTAGATATACGTGTATAAGGCATATCACTTTCTGGTCAGCAGTTTACTGAAATGCCCTGCAGCTTCATTGGTGAAGAATACTTCATCTCAGAATCTCCTCCTGTTTCCATCATTGAGGGATGATCTTTGGATGAATATTGTGATGCATAGACCCATTGCTAGGCAACACTCACAACACATGGGCAGCCAGCAATAAAGGAGCAGTGCTTTCTGTGGTCCATGCACAGACCATTGCTATGCAATGCGAATGCAGCTTACGTTTGCGCTGTGACATCACACAGCAATAGAAGAAGTGACACAGGCAGGTGTTTTCTGTATGTCCATGCCAAGACTGTGTTTTAGGTGCTGTGTAGTCCATGCTGTGACTATATAAGGGAGGCAATTTGAAGGAGCAACAGAGTTGAGAGAATGGGAATACAGTGGCTTACATCAGAGTACAACAGAGAATACAAGAATGAGAATTGAGGTCGGTTGTCAGTAGGAGATAGCCAAAGGAAGTGAGTAATTGAATAAGAATTAGAAGTCAACATCTGAAGACTTAGTCTGTGATTAGAAGATTTAGTCACGGTGAGACTCTTTTAATTCTGTTACCAGAGTACAATTAGTGAAGACTGAGAATCCCAGTGCGTGTGTAATGGCGAACTGTAAATTGTGTAAATCAGCAAGAGTGCTGTAGTGCTTGTAAGTATGAGTTCATTGTATAAGGTGTTAATAAATCTATTCACCAATCCAAACCCTGTCTATAGGCACTAATACACATGACAATATGAAGCAAGACTATGCTACTTTACTGCATTTATGTGTTCAGCAGGTGTCAATGGGTTCAGGCACTGGTGATAAACAGTGTTATGTAATCTCTGGTCACTGGGATCCTGCAGATCCAGCTTTCGAGGCTTTGAATGTGGAGACACCACGTGATGGGCGAATTTACATCACAGTGGCTGTAGATCTAGTGATCCGAGGTATTCAGGAGCCTGTCCGTTTTCTTATTGAGACACCCATTAAAGTATTTCCTCAAGGAGAACGCTTCTGGTACTTCAGTCGACGTCCTCTCATACAGCAGTTCTACCTCAACTTACGAGTGGTGAGTATTAAATAACATCAAGGAACCAAATCCATCTTGAGAAGCTGCTAATTGCTCAGCTGTTTAAAAAGTTTCTTTCCTGCTGTGAAACCTAAAGCTTATATACCATGTTTTGAACCAAACTAAGCCAATCCTCACCATCTTACCCTATTTATTTAACATTCATTTTTATATTACCTGTTGCATATGTAGAGGAAGAGGTAAGTATGTAGGTAAGTCAATAAGTAAGTTACAAATGGATATAGAACTTAAACAAATAAGAGTACTGATTTGAAAAACGCTTTTATTTCTCAACATAATCTCTGTACATTGAGGCACTTGTCCCATCGTTTCACAAGCCCCTGAAAACCAACAGCATAAAATTCTTTGGGCCGCTGTCAGAACCAGGCAATGACTGGGATCACAAAGGCATACTGGTCACTGCATTCCAGCCTCAAGGACAAGCCGTAAATGCCGACTCCTACTGTAACATCCTCAGGAAACTTCATAAGGCCATTCAACGGAAGCGACCAGGACTCCTCACCAAAGGTGTGTTGCTCTTGCATGACAACGCGCGTCCCCATACTGCCAACAAGACAAATGAGACGCTGCAAAATTTCAAGTGGGAAGTCCTCAAGCATCCTCCATATAGCCCCGACCTTGCTCCAAGTGACTTCCATTTGTTTGGCCCTCTTAAACATCATCTTTCAGCTGAACATTTTCCTGATGATGAAGCTGTAGAAAGGGAAGTCACTGCCTGGTTCAGCAGTCTTCATTGATGAGTTCTCAAAATTTTTCAACATTTTCTGTCATTTTACTGGTGCTTGGTCACCCTGAACATTTGTCATCTTCACTGACACTCAACCAGCCTTGAATCATGAATTCCATTTGCAAACCGCTGTCCAGCTGAAAGAATGTTCTCCAAATGCCTTATAAAGCATTTCAACGGTTTCAGTTGCAGATTTACTGAGCTTCACGCAAAACTTTATGCAGACACATTGCTCGAGTTTACCATCCGTCGCAAACAAAACGAAACACAAAGTCGAAAAAAACACTTGTGTAAAAACAGTGTATGTTCATAGTGCGGTGTCACATGGCAGACTGATGCAATAGGCTTGCATAAATGTGACCGTGGCCTCTCCTCTAATCTTCCTTCATCTTGGCAGTTACAACAATAGCGGCCTGGGAACTTTCCAATAAGACCTCATAATATCTTTTCATGATCATTGGAGGTAAAGATGGGCAGAGCTTGAAACTGACCACCTGATGTCTTCCTAATGCTGAGTTCTAGAGTTATATAGAATATTTTGTCCCTTCATGGCTCATATAGAGGACTTGTAATACGTACATTCTGTTTACTAATGAATAACATATTCAGATTCATGAACTCTATGAAAATATTTTTCCTTTACACTCTCTGTCTTTAATTGGCAGGTGCCATCAAATGATGTTACCGCAGTTCACTATGAAGTTCTGAGCATTGAAACTTCAGGTGAACTAGATCGAAACAGGTTAAATCTCACATTAAATCTATCAAATCTCATGCGTTCTCCTAGCTTCACTTCGATAGACATTGATACTCTCACGCCTAAGGAGGAGACTGTGTCAGGTAAGTGAACAGAAACTTCATGTACTTTGTGACTGTCTGCCATCAGCAAACTCTGTAAGAAGCAGGAAGGACTGATATTGAATGATCTAAATGGAATACTTATTTCTATTGATTTAGATTTGTTAGGGGAGAATATAAATAGCATCAAAATAATGCAGAAATACTCCTGATGGTCAGCTAAGAAATTAATTGAAAATCATAAGAATCGTGTTTAATATATGAACATGATTATGTTTGAATATCACATGAAAATTGTATACAAGTAAATATGCTTAGGAACAACAATAATGGACAGAAATTAGGTTCCTGGTATTGTATCAGAGCATCCTGTTGCACGTCACCTATTCCTTGTTTGTTATTTGCTGTCTTACATGCAACATGCTTTTTAAAAACTTTAAAAGTTTTAAGCTTTAAAATCTCTTCTACATCAGTGGTGTTTGCATGCTATATGTTTTGACTAACATTGGTCATCTTCAGATGATAAAGAAACTGCTGTGCTTCCATCTCTTAAGTTCAATTTATGGTGTACACCCTTGTCTGTGCGCCCATGTGTTTGTAACTTGTATTAGTATTTGTGTATGACATGTGTTGGTGTTACTTATGGTATACTTGTGTATGTACTTACCATATTATGATGGGCAGTTCCTCTTATTGTATCATGTGTAGCTGTTATTAATGTTTGCTGAGCTGGTTTTTTTTATTGCTAGTGGGGTGGGACTAAATCCCTTGTACTGCGGCCACTTCTGGCCTATTGTACCAGCCCCAGATGATAGGTGAGGGTGATTGTGGAGCAATTGGTGGAATGAAGATTGGCAGGGGAAACCGAAGTACTCGGAGAAAACCTGCCCCAGCGCCACTCTGTCCACCACAAATCCCACTTGACCAGACCAAGGATCAAACCCGGGCCGCCGCTGTGGGAAGCCAGCAACTAACAGCTTGAGCTATGGTGCAGCCCTCTAAGCCGGGTTGATTCTGTTTTATATAAGGTGTGTGTGCTGCTGTCTGGTGTTTAATTCTTGTAATATTTTGAATATTGTGTTTTATGTGTCAATATATGTGCATTTATTTGTAGTCTGTTTTTACTGATTTTATATATATGTGATATTTTCTTACCCCCCTTTCCAATTTATATGGGTCAGAGGATGGAAAGTCTTCACTCTTTTTTTCTTTCTACAGTTTATATATACCCTTTGATTTCTTGTCACCTATTTCCTGTATTCCTGAGGTCTTCCAGTACCTGGATTAGTATTTTTGTACCTCAGAAATTTCTGTTACTACATGTTGGTATTTGAGCCATGGTTTTTCAGTCACTGAAGTGACTGACTATGGGTTGGACGATCAGGGATAAATTCCTTGCAGGGGCAGTAATTTCCTCTTTGCTGCCACATCCATAGTGGGCCTGTAGAGCCCATCCAGCCTCCTAGCTCATGGGTACTGGGGACTTTTCAGAGGGAAAAACAGCGAGAACATGAGCTAGAGTACATTTTTTCAAGAGCATTTTTAAGCCAGTGGCTATTTATTAAGAATTCAGTTAGGCCTTCAAGTGATTGGTCAATGTAGTCCATATTCAAGTTGTGATGTTCAAATTTCCTAACACAAGCTAAGTTTGTATGAGGAATTTTTACATAAAATTGACTCTTGATGTCTGGTTTTAAGATGGTGATGAACCCCTGCTAAGTGGTACTGGCGAAGTATCAAAAGATTGTTCAGAAATGGAGTTAGAATCTTGGGCAGATGTACTGGCACGCTGGACAAGCACCAAGCAGCGCCCACGGCAGTTAGCATCCCTCGTACGGGGTGGTATTCCAGAAGCTTTACGTGGAGAAGTTTGGCAACGTCTTGCAGGGTGTGAAAATGATACTGCCATGATGGATACATACAGAATCCTCATTACAAAGGTATGCTTACTGCTTATAAATGGATGTCACTAGAGCAAGTTCTGTTTTTTCATCCCCTACAGCAGTTCTATCAAGATCTGTAATATCTGTGTATATAGAAAGGAATGTATATCTGTTTGTTCCTTATTTATACATTTCCATACTATTGCACCTATTTTGAAACAACATGACAACAAATTTTGGAGAAAAGAGGGAAGGAGTTGACAGTAAAAAATGTATAAAGGGACAAAAGAACAGAGGTGAGGGAACTGTTTTAATTTGAAGGTATGGGAGGGAGGTAGAAAGGAGAGGAGGAAATAAAATGAATGATGATAGAATGGCCAAGAGATGAAGAAGACATTTAAGAGGAAGAAGGGATGGAGATAAAAATATGGCAGGGATACAAGAGATAGAAAGAAATAGTTACTCCATCAGATTGTATGGGTAAGTAAAGTAAAGCTATTCCTGTAACAGGCCGTGAAAGTCCATAGGGTTGTGCGACATTGAGGGTCCCACATTATCTAGACAGTCGGCTCAAAGATGGCGGTAAGGTTGTCAGCCTTACGCGCCAGCCACGCTTTACTCCCCAGGAAGATTATTTAATTAATTCCTGGTACGCATTTCAGATTGTATGGGTAATAATAAGTAAGTGCCACTACCAAGAAAAGTAGTTCCTGAAATTGAAGTGCAGATACTTATGCATTATAACATTAGTTCACATATTAGTATACACTTTATGTTACTATCAGCTTATAGGTTTTGTAAGATTTGAGTTTTGCACAACATTGAATGAAGATTACTGTTTTTTTGGATGTGATGTCTTCTACTTTGATACATATATACCAACATTTCAGAGAAACCACATGCCTTCAGTTAAAGGATAGAAGAGTAAGCCCTGAAGATGGATGCAGCTGGATACTGAAAAATATTAGAACCTCTCTGACAAACTATGTGTCATCTTTTCCAGAAGACAGTAATCTTTAAACATTTTGTTTTGATAGTCAGACATGCAAAGTGATCAAGAGCTTTTACTGACCCCAAGACCAAAATCTCTGCAACTGAAAGGTCACATAAACTAGCCAACTACCCCTTGGGATTACTGAGGTTTTGGACTTTGTCCATCGCCTGGTATTCTAAAGAGCACAGCATTTCAGAAACGGGAGCTGTTTCCATCCTCAGGTGTAAGGGTGAGAGGTACTTGCTTTGTGCAGTCCATTAGAAAGAGCTAAGCACAGTCACTTGTACTAGACAAAACAGAGTAGATGCCTTCCATCCTTTCATCTGAGGACAGAAGTAAATTCGTTTTCTGAAATGTTGGGTTCTTTAGAATTCTGGATGCTGAGCCAAGTTCAGAAAATGAGTAATGCCAGGTGTTGTACACCATCATCAAAATCACGTAGGATGGGTCTCTGACACTTGTTAATGAACATCTATATGGTCACAGTTGGCCTCCTTCCTCTTTTACCCTAACCATAAATTCAGTCTGAATCCAAACTAGAGACTTCTGGTTATAACACATGCCTCAACACTGAATAGTTAAGGGTACAGAATACATACATACATAATTTGTGATTTTCTACATTTCTTTCCTTAGTGACTTCCAAAATTTTAAATCCTATAATACATATTTGACAAAATGTCTGGATTTGGTGTCATGTAGTACATAAATGGTTTTCTGCATATGAAAGTTTCTAATTTAAGACTAGGTAAAGGGGTCAAAGTAATTATTTCTATGAATTATTTTCTGCAGACTTCTTGGGTCAGTACTGTATGGAACCAAGTGACTATTTTGACACTTCCACGTCCAAAATCCTGCGCTTCATCCGAAGCGTGGGGTTCCTGAGGGAATAATTAAAAAAATGGGAAGCACAATGGACCACTGAGGTCTAGATGCAAGGGCCGAGAAGGCCTACCCCTCATACATTCATTCATTCATTCATTCTGCAGACCTCAAGGTTTCGAATCCATTAATATGCTGTAATTAACTTCAGTGGACTACATGACTGGTTTTTACACATGAAAGCTCCAAATTTAGGAACAGATGAAACCATAGAAGTGCACCTTCTTTTATTGGAGGCTTCCAAAATTTTAAATTCTATAATCTATATTTCATTAAAAGCTGTAACTGGATTTGCTGGACTGTTTCAAGGATTATATTTTTTTTTGTACAGGACAGCAGTTGTGAGGATGTGATCCAGCGGGATATTAACCGCACATTTCCAGCACACGATTTCTTCAAGGAAGCTGGTGGCTTGGGTCAGGACTCCCTGTATCGCATTTCAAAGGCTTATGCTGTTCATGATTCAGAAGTGGGCTACTGTCAGGGTCTCAGCTTCTTGGCTGCAACTCTACTTTTACATGTAAGTACCATGATTATTGAGCAGTGTTACCATAATACCAGTTGTGCCATGTACTAAATATGTAGTGTAAGAAGGTAAAAAACAAAGTTCTCGTGCTTAAATATTACTCCCTGAAGACATGTGGTGGTGGGGATGAAAAGGTTCATGTCCGGCTCTTTAGTTCATAATGATAGGTGTTGGTCTGGTCACTGACTTCCCATTGTCATGGATTGAACCCTAGTAATCCTACATGTAGTCAGTCACTTTACTGATTAAGCAATCACAACTCATTGTGTGACATAGCTAAGGTTACTACTGTTACTTTGATGTTTTCTGTTAAATTGTAATGAAGTTGTCTTAGAAACATTTGAGCCAATAATTTTCAGTGTAACCTACTTTCATTATACATGCCTAAACCCCATTTTAGTGAATACTATAAAACTTAACTTAAATTTACACCAATAAAGCTATAGTAGTTGTGCCTATTTATGTAAAACAGCATTAATTTCATCATTCTTAAAATTGAATTTTATGCAAGGAGAGTGCATTTGTTTGTGATTGTATGTATTGTGTTTTACTATGCTGATGATGTGAATTTATTGGGCAAAAATATAGGTACCATGAAGTAAAAAAACACACAAACTTTAATTTAAGGAGGTTGGTCTAGAAGTAAACACAGAGAAACTAACTATCACCATCATCATCATCATCACCAGAATGCAGGGCAAAGTCATGACATAAAGATAGGAAACAGATGTTTTTAAAATGTGGCACAGTTCAGATATTTGGGAATGACTATAACAAATCAAAACCTGATTCAGGAGGAAATTAAGAGGAGATTGAATTTCAGTAATGCTTGCTACCATTCAGTCCAGAATCTTTTATCTTCTCATCTGCTGTCCCAAAACATAAAAATTAGAATATAAAAAACTATAATTTTTCCTGTGGTTCTGTATGGGTGTGAAATTTGTCTCTGATGTTAAGGGAAGAATATAGACTGAGGGCATTGGAGAACAGGGTGTTGAGGAGAATATTTGAACCCAAGATCTGATGAAGTGACAGGAGGTTGGAGAAAACTGCATAATGAGGAGCTTCATAACTTGTACTCTTCTCCAAGTATAATTAGAATTATCAAGTGAAGGAGGATGAGATTGGCAGGGCGTGTAGCACGAGTGTGGGAGAAGAGCAATGCATGTAGGATATTGGTGGGAAAGCCAGAAGGAAAGAGACCACTAGGAAGACCAAAACATAGGTGGGTGGACAATATTAAAATGGATCTTAGAGAGAAACAATGGGATGATATGGATTTGATTGATCTGGATCAGGATAGGGACTAGAGGATGGCTCTTGTGAACACGGTAATGAACCTTCAGGTTCCATAAAATGCTGGAAAAGACCTGATCCTGCTATACCTTTACTTTCTCACTGTATAAAATAGTGTACACAATCAGAATCAATAAATTACTTTATCTGAAGCAAAGACGCAAGAGACACAGTTGAGTTTTTAACTCCAGACAAGCAAGAATTGGAATCTCAGATAGCAACAGACAGAGGTCACATTTAACCTCACTTGCTACTTCAGTAACCTACTCATTTTTTTTATGTCTGTAGCAGTCAGTGTCAAGAAACACAAAGCATAAGCTGAAACACTGTATATATTAACTAATTACCTCATAAGAAAATAGATGTATTTACTCTTGAAAATATGTGTCAATTTTGTGTCTTATTTTGCAGATGCCAGAAGAACAAGCATTCTGCATACTCGTGAAATTAATGTATGATTATGGTTTACGAGACCTGTACAAAGATGGCTTTGAAAGCTTATACGTGCGACTCTACCAGTTAAATAGGCTTATGCAGGTATGGACTGAAGTAATGAAAACCTTTTTAAATTACCATAAAGTACCCAATTTGGGGTTCCCAGCACACATGAGCACATTTGCTTCTATAGCCATGCTTTGTGGAAGTTTGTTATGTATTGCTAAAATGTTTTTTTATCTCATTTTTGTACAGGAGCAACTGCCCCAATTATGGCAACATTTCTCAGAAAAAGGTGTGGAGTCACACATGTTTGCATCTCAGTGGTTCCTCACATTATTCACAGCCCGATTTCCCCTTTATTTTGTTTTTCGTATCATCGACGTGTTCCTTCTTCAGGGTATCGATACATTGTTTCAAGTGGCTCTAGCGTTACTTATGGTAAGTTTATGGTTTTATTGCCATATAGGTGTCCTTAAGAATAAGTTGTGTTGAATTAGAGTGTTATATGATACACACAAAGGTCTAGTTGAAAGAAAAGTCTAGTAAATTAAATTGCCTAAATATGAGGTACAGTACCTGTATTCCTTGTTTTATGTATTGTACATTTACCAACTTGGTATGTAAAAGTAGCAGTAATGCTGTCAATGTGTGTAGAAAGTACCAGGTTCAAATCTTTGCTGAGTTACTAGTTATCCTGATTCAGGTTTTTTGGTCTTCCATTGTTCTGTCCAGGGACATGGTGGGATCAAGTAGACCATAGCCACCTCTTTGAAATCCTTACCTGTTCACCATTCATGGTCATTTTCAACATTTAGAGATGTAATTTATGCAGAAGTGACACCCTTGAGTAACCAAAAGATAAATCTATTATCAATCACCTTTTCAGTATTTGATCATGTCTAAGTAACAGTTCATTTCTCTGAAGAAATAAAATGACCTTTGGTGTTTAGGCCTACATACCAAGTTTTAAATTTAATACATTATTCACTCTGAAAAATCAAAGTCTTTGTAACAATTTCATATGGACTGATGCCGAGGAGCTTGTGGTATATCTTCATGGGTTTATACGAGATGCACCACATGGATTTTAAAAGATCCATATTTCACACAAGAACATTTCATAAACGTGTTTCCACTCATAATGTGTCTCAATGCTTCATGTCATACACACTGAGGTGATGAAGTTCCGTTCTGGTAACAGATGTGCAAGCGGGAGTTACTGCAATTGGATTTTGAAAGCATCCTCAAATACTTCCGTGTGACTCTGCCAAAGAAGTGCCGTAATGAAGAAGTGGCACGGCAGCTCATGAAGCTTGCAACAAGTCTTAAGGTTAAAAAACTGAAGAAATATGAACAAGATTTTATGGCTGTCAAAGGTATGCAAACTTTCAGTCCAAAGGAACTCCAGGACTCTGATAAGATGGATTTGTATAACATTAAATATAAAGTATATTTTGTAAGTGGAGAATCCCCCGATTTGGACCTTGGGACTAAATTTGTAGTAAGTGTGAAAGAAGGAGCTGGTAAGTTGATATATTTTGGATGGTCAAACCTCCAAAGGAGATGTGGAAATATTAATATTGGGAATTACAGATTGCTGATTTACACATATGGTTTTGTAGAAATTGTCTTCTAAGGAAGCAGGTTTGGTAATGTAGATAGGATTTGACTGGCTTTCGATTCAAACCAATGAGAATTCTTGTGTTAGCACTGTACAGCATTGAAGTTCTAACAGTAGATAGTTGATTCCTTTGGCAGCTTCTGTGTCATTGGCAATTGTTCTATTTCTCCCTCTCAGCTCCATTTTATTGTCTCCAGTTCTTTTATTTTTTTCTTTTTATTCAAAATATTTATAATACTACACAAAATATTCCAGAAATAAACGCAGTAAATTGGTGAGTGAGTGCTGTGGACCCAAAATAATGAAAACAGTTTACACATGGGTTACTTTTGTAACCAATGTTCTTTTAACTTTCCTACTGTTGTAACAAACATCATGACAGCTGTGTGCTTCATTGCTGCATGGGGGAGGTGTTGGTGTTAAAACACAAATAATTATTCACATCTTCCACTCTCCACTCCATATCCCCTCCCCCCATATTAAGTGTCCCGAGCATTAGTCATGCTATCCTACTGTTCACAGGAAAACCTTTGAATGGCTCTAGTTTGTTGCTGAAGCATTTTCAGATCCATGTTTATATACACTATTTCCACTGTTTTGAACTATGTCACTCACCCACCAATTTACTGCACTTATTTCTGCTACATCCTGTATTTCAGTATGCAAAAGAATGTTTGCACTGCATCATGTCATAAGAGCTTTATTTCTTATTTATAAAGAGGCCCAAGACAAAGCTGACCAGTATACAAGTGAGCTTGATCGACTTAAGTCAACGCTACTAAGAACTGAGGAGGAGAAGAAGAGGTTAGAAGATGAAGTGACTCAGGTTAGATTCTTGTCTCTGTTCATTCTGTATACAACAGAGATGTATTTACCAATATGAATTATTGCCTTCATTATATTGATTGCAGGTAAAGGAAATGTTGAAGAGGGAAGTACAGAAAGCTGAGAATGAAAGCAACCGCAACACAGCAATCATTACTGAATACAAGCAGGTAAAATGGCCAGAGAATGTTAAGTAAAATATGAAATGAATAACAGGAGTTCAGGTAAATATTTGGAAAACATGAACGGTAAACATTATGCAATTTACCAAGTGCTAGTATTTTCAGAATGTATTTTTAATAATGTTAACTCTTTGGCCTTGGTGTTCATTTGTTACTGATGCACAGCATGTAGCAGAAAAATATACATAGTTTAAATTCTTGGATTCTCAATTGTAAGACCATGCAGTCTTGATATGATTACCAGCAATTCAGGGAATTATGCCGCATCCATCTTCAGGCTTAAAGTTCATAGGCTGAGGAATCAACTGGGATATGCAGGCAAGTTGTGAGGAAGGTTGTGTCACTCAGATCCATGGGAGGGGGTAAGAGATAGAACCCAGGCTAAGCAAGTATGAACAGTGAACAGGAAAATTGCTCTTTTCAGAAGCACAGGATTACTGGTAACTCAATCAGTTCCTCACTTTACTTCAACCTGAAGATGGAAGCAACATGTCCCTCTGAAACATTGACATCAAACCATAAAACTGCATAGTGTCACAACTCAGAAGACCATAATCTGAACAATCACCACCATGAAAAGCTCAAAGCATATAAGATCTCGCATGTTTAATTTTTGTATGGGGTAAGTTGAACTCTGAGCATGATATCTTCCATTTATATGAATTAATACTATCAGTAGGCAATTTTAATTACAGATTTGCCAACGGCTTGATGATGAACAGATTGCAGCTAAGGCTGCTTTAAATGAACTCAGAGTAAGTACTGCTTCATATTCAGCTGCAGAACCCAAGCATTGAACACTGCTAATACCAAAGTGTGCTCTTGTACAGTTCCACCTTCAAGCCTTGAAGCCCATTTCTCTATCTTCTAATCTCCTTTTTGATCTTGAATAGGTTTATGAGGTCACATGATGTCTGTGTGTATGTCCCATGTTCATCTTTAGAGTTAGTCAGTTGGTTTTCACAAAATTTGGTACTAACACCACATAAATTAAGATCCAAAAATTATGTGCAATGGTAGATCTTAGAAAAATATGAGCTTTTATAACACAATCTATCCAAGAATGTGAAACAACATGGCAGCTATGTGAAAGTTTTAATTTAGCTTTCAGTTTAACTATGATTGGTGACAAACCGCCACAGCAAGGAGTATTAAATTTTGGTATGAAGATAGATTGGGGAACCAGGATAGCTCAGTCAGTATAGTATGAGCTAGATGGCTGGGGCTTGATTCCTGGCAAGGGCAAGAGGTTTCTGTCTCCTCTATAGCCTCTAGACTGGCTCTGGGGCACAAACAGCCTCCTATACAATGGGTACCAGGGGCACTTTCTGTGGGAGTAAAGTGGCTAGAGCATGAAGCTGACCATTCACCTCCATCTAGTGCCAAAGTAAGAATAGTGGAGCTATACGTCCACTCCCCCATACATCATTATGGCATAAGCACAGGGACAACTTTGCCATATTTTTATGATAATAGATTATACATGTAATTAAAACAAATGTGATGTCTTGGGTAGAAGTCAGTAGTTAAAAATATCATGGTAGTGAGAAACCTTAAGTTTATATCTGACAAATTTAACCCACTTAAGTAACACATTTCTCTTGAAAATAAGATTATTGTACAAACAGCAACAACAATTTGTAACATACATAAAATTGCAAACAATAAAATAAATACAGAGACTAGAAGGATTCAATTCTGTGACATTCCATACTCAAGCCTATTACCCTAAACCATCAGCTATTGCATTTTTTATTAGATTACAAACTTGTGCTACGTAAATACAGCGCTTTCTTCAGTCAGAATATATACCGGCAAACTCATCTGCTGGTTCATTGCATGCTTGGGCCCAAAGGCTGAAACAGCTTGAGAGAACCAGGAAATATGTTTTCCAAAAAAGCAGTCTAAATATAACCCTGATATAACAAAATATGTACAGTAGGAACTACACTTTATGAATTTTTCCTTAATCTGATTTTAGTTGTAAGGTGTTTCCTAAAGGATCTTTTTTTTTTTAATTCACTTTATAGAGTTAGTTTCAGTTCTTGAAGTGGATCATGATGAAGCAAGATGCCACCTCAGACGTTTTTTCATACTAGTTTGGGCCATGATTTTGAAAATAAGCAAAATATGGAAACTTGTGCACTTCTAATAATATATTCTTTATTTCATAGAGTCAAGTGGTAGGCTGTGACCATTGTCGTACACTACTAGGAGATGGAAACATGGCAGAAAATGGAGATCAAGTTATCCCAACCAATAAGACTGCTGACCCACATCTGACAAGAGCACAGGAGCGTATCCGAGAACTAGAACTTGAACTAGCACAGACAAAACTGGCACATGTGGAGGCAGAGTGCCGTAATCAGGTTAGACCCTTAGAATTCAAATTAGTGAGTAATTTTAATATGTGCTACTATATGGATATGTATTCAGTATTTTATACCTCATGATAGTCTACTTGTGATGTAGTGAACAATTTCTAAACCTGATTAACATCAGTAGCAGAACCCAAAGGTTCAACATTGATAATAATGAAGCTTACCATTGTACTTCATCCTGAGCCAGTTCGTTCCACCTCCCATCCTTTCAGCCTATTTCCCCAATATCCATTATTAATTTTCCCCCACATCTTTATCTTTCAAATAGACATTTTTCAAAAAAAGTCTGCATTTCCTGTCTCCCCATTCATAAACATATTGTAGCATGTAGAGCCATTACTGTGTAACGACCACAAGATAGGCAAATATATCAGATCCATCTCTAGGTAACGGCTTGGTAAACACATTCCTGCAGCAACGAATCAATGTGCAACAATAGAGGTATTGTTGGAAATGGGGTGTTTCTACATGGTCCATGCTGAGGAGTTATCTTGGAGACAATTGGGGCAACCAGGTCAGTTCCGTATGGGAGTCTGTGAAGAGATGACTCGAGTGCATGAAGCTGAAGAATCTTCACTGATAAAATCCATTACCAGGAAACAACTAGTGAAGACACTGCAAGCTGGAGAACATTTAGTGTGTAGTGATTTGTGAAGTGTGGATATCAGCAATAGTGTTATAGTTATTTGTAGTTACGACCTGTAAGTGGTCAATAAATCAAGTCATGAATCCAAACCCTGTCTGTAGTCACTCATACACATGGCAACTATGTCAGAAGTGGTTGGATTGGACACCGCATTAGATCTTGATTGTTAAGCTGCCACATTATGGGAGTGGAACATGGTGGCACATCTGCTGGCTGTAATCAGAAGCAACAGAAAAAAAATGGACACAAACAAAGCACAAATGAGAACCAGCTAACAATACCTGAAAAAAGAAATGACAACTGACCAAGATATCCTGGAAGAAGAAATTCTGGCCAAAGTGGAAACCAACCAAGAAAAGATAGAAACCAGGGTAGATGCCAGTAATGAGAAGTTTGACGTCGGTCGAAGTACTCGTCTCCCAGATGGATATCCACCAAGCTAGAACAGAGGTAATTCAAAAGAAATAAAAACAAAGATGGACACCCATCAGGAAAGGATGGGAGCCAATGCCAGGAACCTGTGGAAGCCAAAATTAAGACATGCCTGGTAGAAGTGAAGGCCATGGATTTGGTTTAAAATCCTGACGATAAAGAGAAGGTAGCAGAGCAATAGGAAGTCCCTAAAGAAGAGGCCACAGTGAAAAGTGTTGTAGCATTGAAGAAGCAGCATGGGGACCGGCATCTAGCTGTAGGGTGCCACCAAAAGCCGAAGAAACGAACCCAGGGCAATGGTGGGTCCCAGAAGAAGTTGGCCGCCGCCTGCAGAAGGATGACCCACTGTGCAATTCTTGCATGGCGTAAGGGATACTGTTGTCAGGGACAAGGCAAGGACAAGGCTGTACCAAGAACCCAGAAAGGATGGATGTTCAGGAAGAGACATCAGGTGAAACTGGAAGGCATCAATGGAATAAAGTTCCAAGGCTTGAAGAAGCAACTGTGCCTGAAGAAAAACAGGACATCTGGAAGGCTCTTCAAGGAGACACTAGGGCTGGAGATCACAAAGAGAATATCCAGATCTTCTGTCAGGATTAAAAAAAAATGAGTGTCAGGACATTGTGGAGGGGTCAGCGCCCTTTGAAACAAAAGAAGAGACTGCACACAGAGTGAGAGCCAGAGATAGAGGAACACCAGCCACTCGAGGTTGTTTTGCCTCCATTGGTCAGAAGAGCAGGATAATGGTGATAAACCTGGATCGACTGGCACCTTGTCATAGAGTCACTCAGGACAAGTAGCCTTAAGGAGGGAGCAGCGGGAGTGGTTGGAGAGTAATCACCATGAGAACTGAGCCACAGGGAAGAAAGGTGAGACCTATCACAGACATCACAAGCACAGCCCTTGGAAAGGAAGAAATGGTAGTACACCTGTAGACCATTCAGGAGAAATAGCTTTAAGGAGGGAGCAGTGTAGCATGTAGAGCCATTGCTGTGCAGTGACCACGAGATAGGCAAAGGAGATGACAGCCAAAATTTAGTAAGTTAAGCCAGCATTTCTTTTTGGACCTAGTCTGGGAACTTTCCAATGGAACAGGTCACAAATAATTTTATCATACATCCATTCCATCTGCCCATAACTAACTAACTAACTAACTAATACCAGTACATAACTCACTCCATAGAACAGACTCAACTGGTCATAAAATTTGCCACCTTGTATGGAATTTGAATGTTCATTACCATGTTAACAAGAGCCTGACACTGGTCCCATTCTTGAGCCAAATAAATTCAATCTACAGCATCACACACGGCATCTAGATCCATTTTAACATTATTCTTCCATCTACACATAGATCTCCCATGTAGTCTCTTCACTTCTAGTGAAATATGTTTTATATGCATTGCTTCATTACTTTCTTTTGATTATGATAGGATTTGGTACATCAGTTGCACTCTGCTGTGGCAGACTTGCAGGCAGCACGTAATTCATGGCCTCCATGGTTGCATAAAACACTAAGTTCTATAAAAGAAGTGGCTAACAAAAAGGAACTGACTGGAGGAGGACCACTGGCTGCTGTGGCCAGACGGGATTTAGTACCAGGAATTGGAACTCCTATTGTAACCCGACGTGACTCTGCACCAGGGCTCTCAAGGGATTCAGTAAGTCGAGAAAGTCTGCGTGACATGTAGGCAGCATACACTATGACATCTCTTGTATTTCTCATCTGTCATCCTTTTTTTAATTTGTAATTAGTAGTAATGAGTTCTACATCACAAAATATACTGTGAATAAAAAGTAATATCTCCTGATACATTCCTCAAATATTTTCCAGTTGTATGATGCTTTTAGGTATCATGGCATTACTTTGGACATTGAATTGAATTTTAAGTAGTCAATGTTCATAATGACAGTGTCAAGGCAGGATAGGACAGCATCTTCCATAATGGGAAAATAAATAATATTCAATTTCAGATATAACAAAGTTTGAAGTTAAAAAGTGAACTTATTCCAGGCAGGTCAAAAATCAGTCATAGACACAGGGTACCAACCTTCCCCGGATTGCATTGATGTGCAGAGGACATCTGCTACAATACAAATGTCAAACAGTGTACCACAGTTTTGTAATATGAAATATTAAAGTATATTTCTATGCATCTCTACTTAACAGCTTTGAGGACATTACATATTCATGTACAGTAGGTATATTATTTTAAAACACAGGTACCAAGCATTGCCATGCAGCCATCTACACTAATATGAAATAATCCAGCGGTCACATAATGCATTGTATGAACAACACAAGACCATGATTTATGTGTCTTAAGAAGCAAGTATTTATAAGAAGGTCATTTGGTATTTTTGTCTGGTGCATGTTTTAATATGAATGTGGGTATGTGAACGAGCATGATATGAGTGCAGAGGTTTGTTTCTGTCATAGTTTCTATTTCTTATCCTAAGTTAGATATTAATAACTTAAAAGCATTGAAATGCAAATTATATCATAAGTGTAAAAGAAATATCCATTTATGAAAAAAGTGTTAATATTTTTAACTGCGATAAATTGCGGGAATGTGCCATTAGTACTCTATCATGTAGTATTGTGATGTGAAGAGTCGTTGGTTACCAACAGCCAACTAGTGTACTTTTCCTGAAAGGAAATTATAACAAACCTTGTATGTTCATAGTGTGGCATAGTTTTTTTTTATATAATAACCTAAAAAGATAAAATTGTTATAAGAAGCAAGAAGCAAAAACCATGCAAGATTTGAGGTCAACATGGCAGTGATTAGTAAGGTCACTGCTTTCTGGCATGTGATTGTATAGTCTGGTTGTTCATTATCAAAATTCTGGCGAAACCCACTACCTCCACTTCAGAGAAAGGGTTCCTCTGAAACGCTGGTAAGAGTTCACCAGACCCAATGGCATCACATTTTAAAGGACAGTGATGTTCATAAGAGATGATGTATGTTCCAAGAAACATTTTCATATTTTAATTGGATTTACAGTAATTTGTCTTGCAGCCCTTATCTTTAGGAGTCAGAATGCATATTAATTCACCATAAGACAATTATGTCCTCTCATTCTTGGATATGTTTTTTGTTATTGGTATTTCATTGACTCCATACAGTTAGGCCACAACTGATAGTTATTATTATTTCTTGAAATCATAATTGAATGTTTTGTTGAAAACAAATTACTTTACTAGAGCAAATCTTGTAAGTAATTCATGTCATGTATCTCATTATAATGCATCCCAAAAATCCTAAGTTATGTAATAAACCATCACACAAATTTGCTTTAAAACCTTGTTTTTTCTTATATACACTTCATATTTCAGCTATAAATGGTCATCATCAGGTAATATACTGAAATCAACCAACATATATAGAGTGTAAGTAAGTGTAAGTACTGTCAAAATGTGAAGATGTATAAAATGGTAGGCAAAATAATAATGAATTAGGTTGGATCTCACTTAATTTTACAAAGACATGAATGTCCGCATCTTTGTAAAATTAAATAAGAAACAGTAGTATTTGTCTTAATATAGGTATTCTGTAACATATGGAATTATATGTTTACTATTTAGTTTTATATAACTTGGCAGTTCGCATTTTTATATTATACTTTCATTTTCTCTATATAGCTTTCTTAGTTAATCCAAGTTAGGTTATAGCTTAAAATTATATGCTAGTTTGTTTTCTTCTTTGGTAACTTGGAATGATATGTATGGTATTTTTCTCTTGGTGAGTAGCTAAGTTTGATTTTACATACATTTTTATACAGTTTGCGATCTTAACAAATTTGTACTTACAGTCATTTATTTGGCTCATTTGAGTATGTCGCCTGATGATTATTGTTTACAGTCGAAACATGTAGCATATACAAGGAATAAAGAACAAAAGGGTTTTTAAAGAACATTTGTGTGATGATTAACCTTATGACTTACAAATAAACAAACAGAATACAGTCTGATAAAAAGTAAAATCTCAAGTCATTACAATTTTACATAGAAAAATTTAGTCTTATCATGCCAAATGTCAACTTTTCCCAAATAAATAATACATTACACTTCATTTATGGGAAATCATTGTATTTTTTAATGAAGCCAGTATATACAAGTATGAGAATTACCTGCTTGTGCAAGACACAGAATCAGGACTGAAGTATCATTAGTGATTGTGATCTTGCAGGAAAAATGTACTCTGCTGCATAAAAGATGGTTCATTCCGTAACAATCATCAACAGTGCTCTTCATTTATAAAAGTTTGTTGAAAGCACTATTAATTATATATGCTTCTGAGAGTGTTCACGAAGAACTGTATGTAAACTATTTGCTGTTAAAATTAAATACCACAGTTCCTACATTTAGATAGTAAAAAATATAGCACCTTCATAAAGTTTAAAATTTGGAGATCCAAATTGAAATTTCTTCATATCCTACAAGTAACGTTATGTACAGTTTTTACTATTACTTTGGTTACAGCAGCCATTAGACATCAGTCAGCAGTCATTTTAAATTTATAAGGTTCTACTGGATATGGCAAAAGCATTTTGAAAAACAATGACAATAATAATTTAGTTGAATTCAATTCTTTATTGATTATGTGCTGAGCTCAACAGGCATTGGCCAATTACAGAGTCAGCATGGGTACAAACAACAGCAATATGACAACACAGGACAAAAGAAACAATAAAAGCAAAGAAAAATTAATAATTTTAGGCTTTTAACACTCAAACAAGAGTTCCTAAAAATATCTGTAAGTTTACAAACTGCATTTGCAGTTGAAACACGTCTAGCTGAAGGGCAGTGCCTAGAGGAGCAAGTGAACCTGTTGAAGCAACAAATGTTCCAAGTAGAAACCCAAAGGCTGGCTGTTTCAAGGACAGAGAGGCAACATTTAGTGCTACTAAAAACATTTATTAAGACTAAACCATCAAAGTGATGATGCCTGTTATGCAGTGTCAGCAAATTTAATCTTTCCAATAAATTATCATAGTAATATTCTGTATCTTGGAAAAATCTACTGTGGAAAAGGGCTGAAAATTTTCTTTGTATGCGCTCAAGTTTATTGGAGTCAGAAATCGTAATCAACTTCCAAGCAACATTAAGTATATTTGAGTTTAGATCTGACCAAAGCAAAATATAACGTCAGTAGGCTGTCTGAGGTGGAAAAAGAAAGTGTTATTGTGTGAAATAGCCCTAGTAATTTCAGTGAATATGAAGAAAGATTATTATTATTATTATTATTATTATTATTATTATTATTTAGTTCCCAGATTAACTTCCATCATCTAAGAATAGGAGATTTTAAATTCCTCAGTATTATGAGTCTGATGATCAAATGTTAACTTGGTCCTAACAATATCAGTATTGAAAAATACAATCCTGAGCCAGATGGACTACATGTGGACACTGCTGCAGTAGTGCAACATACTGACGTTAAAGGTTTGACATCAAAAGTAATTTGTAGTTAAAAAAGTTTCAGAAATGAAATAAGTATCTTATGGAACTACTGTATTTTTATATACTGATATGTTATGAGCTGAAATAATTCAGTCAGTAAGTTAACTTGTTACAGGCTGGACAGTTTGTTCCCAGCAGAGGCAGTGATTGTTCTTTCATTGTCACCATGTCCAGACCAGCTGTGGAGGCCACTCAGCCTCTTACTGAATGGTACTGGATATTCTTTCCCTGAAAATAAAATAACTAGAGTGTGCAGATGACCACTCACATCCACCTAGTGCTGAAATTAAGAATGTGTGGAGCTTTACTTTTACTCCCCATACTCTCCTTAGTATGGGTGTGTGGCACAGTACCTTATGTATATTGCTATTGATTTGTCTGATTGTTCTGCCTTGATTCATATAAAAAAACAGTATTAGTATATGAAATATGTGGTATTTAAATCTATCCACAAACATCACATTTCAGTTTGCATGCATTCCTCTGTTATATTACATGTTGTATTTACTTTAAATATTTAAGACTGTCAAGCCAGATAGAATAAAAGTGCCCTTTGCTTAATCACTGATTTCTTGAAGAAACTGTAATTGCTCTGTACTTAACATGTAATAACTCTAGATCATTATAAGAGAACTCACAAGTTTTTAAAATTGTCAGTTTTCTTGAATGTGTTCTTTTCAGTGTTCATATTTATTTACACAGATGACAGAAACTAAGTCTGAAGTTATAAATTTATGGAACAACAAAACTCAAATATATACCATACCTCTGACTGCATATTAGTTTGAATTTTGATTATTCTATAACAGAGTATAAGTAGAATTAAATCAAACAGCAGTTATTACACTATAAATGTATAATGCAGTAGAAGTGGCGACAGTATGTTGCTGTCCATTCACCTCCATCTACAGCCAAGGGTAAGAATGTGTCAAACTTTATCTCCACTCCCCCATACATCTTCATAGCATGGTGCTTAAGCATAGGGACAACTTTATCTTATCTGATACATTGAACAAGCTTCAACGTGCAATACAAATATGTTTTTGGACATTATCCATCTTATCGTTACCTAAAAACCATCCTGTTTATTCTTCAAAACACAATGTTTCGGAGACTGGATTCTGTCTCCTGTCTCCTCCTATCTCTGGAGATAGGGACTAGGTCTATCAATTTGGCCCAACTGAGGTTTACCTGAAGACAGAGACAGAATCCAGTCTCCGAAACGTTGTGCTTTGAAAAATAAATGGACGGTCTTCAGATAAAGACAAGATGATGGATAATGTCCGAAAACATAATATTTGTACTAATGTACCACTGTCACAAACTTTTAGATTTATTCAACATGCAAAAAAAAACATTTTATGATAACCTAAGTTCGGGAAACATTGTTTTTAATATATATTTGTGAACACAAAATAGTATCTAATAATATTCATCAATTCTACATTTTTCAACTATTGTAAACTTAATTGGTGGGAAAGCCAAATGGAAAGAGACCACTGGGAAGAACAAGGCACAGGTGGGTCAACAATACTAAAATTGATCTTAGAGATATAGGATGGGATGGTATGGATTGGATTCATCTGTCTCAGGTAGGGACCAGTGGAGGGCTCTTGTGAACACGGTAATGAACCTTTGGGTTCCATAAAATGTTGGGAAGTTCTTGAGTAGCTGCACAATTGGTGGCTTCTCAAGAAGGGCTCAGCTCCATGAGAAGTGAATGAGTGAGTGAGTGATTGTAAACTTAGTCTGTGTTAATAATCAAGATTATAGGAGGAGAGATTCAATAAACTGGGCCCATCAGTTACTGTGTCCTGCTGTGCTTTGCATAGATATTTCAGCATTATAATCCTTAGTTACCCTATGTTTATAGGCTGCGCCATAGCTCAAGTGGCTAGTCACTGGCTTCCCACCGTGGCAGCCTGGGTTTGAGCCTGGGTCTGGTCATGTGGGATTTGTGGTGGACACAGTGGTGCTGGGGCAGGTTTTCTCCAAGTACTTTGATTTCCTATGCCAATTGTCATGCCACCAATTGCTCCACAGTCATCATCATCTATCGTGGGCTGGTACAATAAGCCAGTAGTGGCCGCAGGACTAAGTGGACTCAGTCCTACTCCACTAAGAATAATAAAAAAATCAGTACCCTCTGTGGGATGCATTTATTCATTTCTCTGTTACATAATGAATGGAAAACACATTCTGATCATTTGTTTCTATACCTTATTTGTGATGCCACTGTCATATTTGGGCCCACCAAATACATGGATCACAAGAATAGGCACATTCTTTCTTAGAATTATGTTCTAAAACATGAATATTAATGACTGCACTCTGACAGATCTTTCATTCCAGTGCTTGACTTGGCAGCTGTTGATTCCAGGAATGGAAATAAAATGATTGTCTTTCTGTTAAAATGTAAGCATTTATAGCATAAAATAAATTACTTAAGTGCAATTTTTATTAGTGTCAAATATGTCATGCTTAAAGCTGGGCCATTAAATTTTAGTTTATAGATACTTTTTTCAATATACTGTTCATGTATCTGCAGTTATTACAGTGCAAAGATATAAATACTCAGCTGTGTACTATGTAATGCTAGTCTGTATGAAATGTACATTAAAATAAGATTCAGTACTTTACATAGAAATTAATAAAATGAAAGTTGCAGTACAGTCACTTTCAGACCTACTAGAAAGAAAGAATTGTACACATTTTTAATGAGTACTGTAGAGAAATGTACCCAAGTGACCCACATTCCTACCCTGTTTTGTTTATGAATATTTGTAATGGAATTTGTGTAGTGAATCATCTTTATGACATTCTGTTGGGGATCACAAAAATGGAGGAAAATGAAAGCAAATTGCTGTGTGTAGGTGAAACTTTATCACAGAATGAGTGGCTGATGTCACAAGCATTGAATTCATATATGTAGTTAGTGATGTAGTCTTGTTGCACACCACAGATATTCTTTATAAAGTACAAGAAGACTAGACCCCAGAAAAGAAGAGGGAGTCAAAATGTTATGCTTGTACATACATTCTGTGTGTACATGTGTACATATAGACACTTCCATTCACAGACATACAACCATATCTTCCCACCTCCTTGGAATGGATTTTGTACAAAATTACATCATTCTCTTGAAAAAATTTTTGAGGTGCACATTTAGGATAAGAAAGTTACAATCATGTTGTGCTGATCAGTGCAGCTTAGAGTTCTTTAAGATTTGGAAAATTTGTATAGCATCATACATTGTTACATCTGTACATATATACGAGGGGGTACCCAAAAGAAACCAAACTTATTTTTTTTTAACTTATTTATTCAAATTTTAAGCACAAACCTTCAATCCCCTTCAAAGTACTCTCCACTTACACTAATACACTTGTCTAGTCTTTTATTCCATTTTTCAAAACATTGTCTAAATTCATCTTTTGAGATGCTTGACAGCGCCTCC